CTTCTGATTTCCGCAGCCCGGTGGCCGTCCCAGAGTGCTCCGCGCGCGTTGCCGGGGAACGAGCGCCTTTTCCTTTCGGGCCGGTGGGAGGTGAGCGAAGTCGCAGGGGTGCTGCTGGAGCGGAGGGGCCGTGGGCGCCGCAGGGAAGGGGCCCCAAATCCCCTGAGGCCGGGCTCCCTGCGGGGAGGCCGGAAGGGCGCTGAGGCGGGGAAGAACCAGCTGCGAGCGGGAGCCGGGCTGTGGAGGACCGTCTCGTGGGCAAGAGGGAGGGATGCGAGGAGCGTCGCCAACGTTGCGCCAGGGATGTGAGGAGCGTCTTCCCTCCTGGTGGGGTGGGGGGTCCCAGTCTTTTCTCAAGGCGGATATTCAACAGGGGAAGCCTCGCTGTGCTCAACAGCAAGGTAGCGGAGAGGATGGGCGGTGTTCAGCGACGGCAGCGAAGACTTCAGTAAAGCCTCGCCAGCTGAGCTCCTGTGGACTGGATGGCCATTTTGGCAGGCGAGGCCTGTGGGGAAGGGTAATTAATTATGTGGGTAATTAAGCGTGTAGGTGATTACCTCTAAAGGGAGGTGGCAGCAGCAGCAGCACTAACTGATTCAGGTTAAACTCAGAAACTAAACCTAAACAGACCTAGCTGAAGGGGAGACTGTTAGGGGACTCCAGGGCCCTGGAATAGATTGGAAAGTTTGGGGGGGAAAACACTTGTAACAAAAACAAAAGCAACCCACTTGAATGGTTGCCACAAAAGCTATGTGGACATATCCTTGAAGTCACAGGAGTCCAGCTTGACTCAAGGAAGACTTTACTTTCAGGTATAACTCAAACGCAGAAAACATTTGCCCTGCAGATATTTTGGATTTCAATTCCCAACCAGCATGGGACTGTGTGAGATGGAATACGCAACACCTGGAGGGCAACAGGATGCGTGCATCCAATATAAGTGAAAGTTTGTTAAATTCTGCTGTTGATTCCGTCTTCCTTCCTGTTTTAGATGATGAGTACCATAAGTTCTCAAGCTCATCTCTAGTATTTTGTAAAGCAGTGTTTTTCAAACTTGGCAAGTTTAAGATGTGTAGACTTCAACTCCCAGAATGGAAGTCCACACAAGGGAGTTGAAATCCACACATCTTAAACTTGCCAAGTTTGAAAAACATTGCTGTAAAGTGTCATTATGATTACTGTGAAATTAATCAACAGGTGAGTGGTCATTGATAGACATTAAGGGGGGGAGGGTAGCTAATAATGGAAGAAATTGAGAAAAGTTAATGTAACATGAGAAAGAATTGGGCAAGAAAGTTGGGGAGGGATTGCACTTAAACAGTAGTGACAAAAAAGTTTTTGTTTAGAAGCAGTAGGATTAAATTATTACGTAGGAGGAGAAAAATACAGGTATAAATTGATTTGATGGGTAGAAATGGAGGTAGCAGAAACCGGGAATGTGAGATGTTGAAACCATAACAGAAACAGGGCTGGGTTTTTTAAAGTAGGTCATAGATTATATGCAGCAGTAATTGTAATCAAATACCATTAAGAGGAGAGATGAGGAAGAGGATTGGAAAGAGTAGAACAACCTTACAAATAAGTCCACAGATATTTTTTTTTTGGTGATAAGTTTGTATGTAATTGTTTCCAATCAAAAAAACCCCCCAAATGCTATCTTTTAAACATAGTGATTCTTGCATCCCTTGAGCAAGTAGATATTTAGAAGCTTCTGCAAAATCTCAGGTTCAGTCAGTGCTTTTGCTAGATAGCAACAGGTATCTAAACTAGTTATCTAACATGTTTTTTAAAACAGTAGCATAGCAGAATATCACAACTAGAAAAGTGAACATAAGTTGCTAATTTACAGTTATATTGTGATTGCTCTGTATTTAAATATCCTTTTTAGTTGAACTGTTATCCTAACAGTTATGAGATGCACTATGTGTTTGAAGTATACTGTCAAGCTTCCCTTGGGGATGTATGTTTTCCATGGATCTTAAATTCATGTAATTTATCTTTAAATCATTCTCTGCAGCAAAACAGATATTTTTTCTCTTTTTACTAAAACACAATTCTCCTGAAAGCTAGAACAGCCCCAAATATTATCAGAAGATTACTGAGTTTAGCATGGAACTGCATTTATAAAATCAAATTACTGAGGCAGGATGTAATCTGGCCTATTTTAAAATCAAGGCCAGGAAGAGAATATGTAAAAATTTTACTCTCAGATAAAAACACTGTTATAGTGGTGATAGTCACATTTTTAACTATGGCTTTAAAAACAAAGTCTCTACTAATAAATTAGTAACTTTGAGTTTTTAAATGTTTTATGTAATATGTAGCAATTTATTTTATCTGATAAACTGTTTTATCTTATGCCAAACTTTTAATTATATCTGTACTTTGCTATTTGGGACTTTTGGCCATAAATAATAACAATAATTTTAGTATAAATAACCTTTAGTCATTCACTGTTTACTTATTAGATTTTTAGATGAATTCATACGAAGTTCACAATTATAAATAGTCTTGTCAATAGTATAGAATTGGTTCACTGCATCTTCCATTTGAGTGTGCTAGAGAGTGGGGTGCATGAAATCAGCTCTGAATAAGGAGTTCAGTTAGTAAAATATTAGATCATACTGCTCTGTAATGCTGATCTCTACAGAGTCCCATGTTTTCTCCTGTTGCTATTTCCATTTAAATTTAAAAACTTGTATAACAACCTATGTCAGATTCAATTCTATAATTCTAAATGGATCTTTAATCGCTAAACTTTTTTTCTACTTAATATCATTAAACTTCCCTCACCAAAGCTATGTTGCATGGATAGCAAGCATACCAGCCCCTCTTCATTTTTTAATTACTTACTTTTGCCGTATTGCCTAGATTTATCATTTTCTAATAACTGCCAACTGAATCCTCCAAGAATGGCTGATGGAAAGGGACATATCTTGTATACCATCTGTCAGAGAACAGCAACTGGAGTTATTTTAATATCACCATCCATTGCTGAATTAAGGATAAATCCAATCCTGAATTAAGGACAAAATCAAGTTTCAGAATCATTTCATCCTGAAATATAGTTTGAACATAGCATTCAGAAAGTATCATCCCATTTTGTGACAAGGACTGGATAATGTGTACAGCAAAAAAATAGTAGACATGTTATAGATATTGCTTGCTAATTAACAAGCAATGTTAAATGTAATTCATACGATTATTTTAATAATTAATGTTTCCTTTGTAACTAGTGTTGCAAATCAAGCCTGCTTAAGAATTGATCTGCATATGTTGAGCTTACCTTCCTAAGAATAGTTGAAAAGTGATTTTTTTTTTCCTTTTGAAGATAAACTTATCAAATATAGACAAGAGCACATGACCATATGTACTTTTACTAGAGAGGAAGTAAGATATTTAAAAGTGCTTATGAGAGAGAAGTGGAATAAACTTGAGAAGAGATGCAACAACCAACTTTTGAAAATTTAGATGGGAAAATAATACAGTGATGTCAAAATGCTAAAAATGTTAGAATCAGTGCACCCAGGGCACAGAGTTTCCTTTCTATAGGGCAGTGACCCAAAAATGTATTTACAGAGATAATTAGTTCACTGATTTCTATTATATTTTGCTTATTTAAGGAAGAACAGTGTCAGAATTAATAAGTCCTCTCATTAAGTTTTCTTTGTGATAATTACAGAATGACTCAAGATTTTACAGACAATGGGCTATAAGTACCCTGATGAGGTTTTGTGCATGGAGACATGCTGCTTGCTATGGCATCTGAGACTGAAAAGGCCCATGCTCTTCTCAAGTTGTTCAGCACAGCATCTGTTATTTCAAGCCTAGGACTGGGGATTTTCTGCTTTGTAGCAGATCGACTTCTGCAATTTTCTTTCATTCAGCAAACTTACTGGCTGCGGGCACTGTCTGATAACATGGTGCATGGTGCTATAGGATTGTGGTCTTGGGCAATAGTGATTGGACTCAAGAAAAAAAGTGATTTTACAGAAGTAATTTTAGCTGGTTTCCTCTCATCTGTGATTGACGTGGATCACTTTATTCTAGCTGGCTCTCTTTCACTAAAGGTAAGCAAAAACATAGCTTAATCACCTGAAATTTCTAGAATATTTATGAATAAATCAATCTGAAGCTATTAGAAATATAAAATGTTGCAAAAATTAGTTTAAATATTTTTATATTAAAATCATGATTTCAAGCTTTATCTAATCTATTTAGTAGATTTCTAAATTACAACTTTTATTGCATAATAAAAGTAGTATTTGGCTGACTTTTGGGTGGGCCACCCTGATGTGACACCTTCTTGCCTGTGCTGACCGCCTCTCCCCTATGACTTCAACCCGTCCCACCCGATCACACAGAGAGGGCATGCTTCAGACCCCCTCAGTGAAAGAACTTCAACTGGCGGGGTCCAGAAGGTGGCCCTTCTCTGTGGTAGCCCCTGCTTTTTGGAACATTCTGCCCCCGGAGGCGTGATTAGCCCCCACACTCCTGGCCTTCCGTAAGGCTTTGAAGACCTGGTTCTCCCACCTGGC